TTAGTTACTTTGAGAAGTAATATATTCTTTGCATATAGGTATATTGTTAGAGAACCATACAAAGAGTATTTACATGATTATGGTATGATTTCAAAATTGAATTCAAAGTATTGTCTTTCACTTTCACATGCTTATATAGAATCTTTATTTCAAATAGGAATTTTCAATTCAAAGAATTGAAAGTCTTTGTAGAGAGGGTATTGATGCAATGCAACCCAACTGTTTTAATCTTTTCTACTTAATTTACTATAGACTATAAGTCCCCAATTTTTTCAAAACATAATTTACTATAGTTAACATCACCTTACATTCAGAACATTTTTTATTTATTTAATATATATATATATATATATATATATATATATATATATATATATATATATATATATATATATATATATAAAAGAGAACTAAAAATTCTTAATCCTGATTACAAAAAATGAGACAAAGCTCGGCAGTCAGATGACTACAAACCAAATAACTTATGATAAATAAAACAAAGGAAACTTATAATTGTAATCAAGTAAACCATCAACGTAATACAAAGAAACACCGCCAAAAACTCTACCTTGACCAATAAACAACATCGGCGGGAAACTCTATCGATTGTGAAACAACTTCATGCAACAGATTCTAGCTTTTGTTGCTATTCCTTTGAAACAGCTTCATCCATAGCAGTGAAATGATGATGTACATATACATAGCGGAGGAAATGCTTCAGTGTCCCTTCAAAATTTGCACTAATGGCACTTGATTTTTTTAATTTAAAATCAATTGAATGATTTTTGTATTGTAATTTAATATGGAGTCAAACGATTGTCCTTGGAAATCAGAGTCATAATGCTAAAATACATGCACGTTCACTAATGTAACAATTTGGTAAAAAGGGTCATGATGATGATGACGACGTAGATAGATCACTTTGAATAGTATCGAGAAGTCACTAAAATGTCACCTTTCTTCCATCTTGTACATTTGAAAGTGAGAGTTTTTAGAAGCATCTGTTAGGATAAGAAATTTAGCTGAAGAATTCGACAATAAATAATAATAGCCATGTTTGAAAATGCAAAGTAAAAAGACTCAATCGTGGTTTCGACATACTAATCATGTCGACCAAGATGATTTGACTAACTTATCAGATAATATGGAATTTAGTACAAATTTTAGAGTCAAAAGGTTAGATGACCTAAAACATCCACTAAACCTAGTTTGGAAGAAATTTAGGAACAAATTCACAAAATCAGGATCACTTTCTCTTTAAAACATATTCATAATCTCAAAAAGGTTTGTAGTGGGGTGGCATTTGAACATGGAAATGCGTATAAAGGTAGTGAGTTCAACTCACCTATCATGCTTTGGGACTTGGTATATACTTAAGTCCAAAGATCAAGTGATCTAAAGGTATTTCAACACCATACATGATTTGACCGAGGCATCCCTCAACAAGAGAAGTTAAAGGTTATAAAAACAATTGTTTGATGACACAATTGTTAGAGGGAGTTTTAAAGACCAAAACACGTGGAAGCGTATCAGAAGACAAAAGCCCATGTAATGTGATACGTGTCGAACACATGAGAAGTAATTGTTATCCATAATTAATAAAGACTATTATATAAATCAAATTCATTCATGTCATCAGGGTTGCAAATTTTATCTGAAAACTCTATATAACTCAAGTATACAAGTCAAAGTGAAAAAAGAGCTTGTGAGAAACATGTACAAATGAGTGTATCATTTATAATTCTTTAATCAAAATATTCTTCTTTTACTTTTACGGTGTTTTTTCCTTTACTTTACCTTTTTCAAATGATTTTACTTCATTGTTATTAAAGTTCTATTTAGTTTCATCATCAATCAAATATCAACTATCTAAGCACGTACACATTTCTTCTAATTTTCTGCACAAAACAGTTCTTAAATTTTTTTTGAGTTTAATCTTTTAAATGAATAAAACTTGTGGGTTGATTTACTGAAAATATCAGTAAACAGATATACATATCTATCTTAGACGTACACCTGATCAGAACAAATAATTAAAACATGATAATTATCAGATTAAATAACAAATAATATTCAGACACTAGTTTGAGGTTCTAGGATCGTGAAATCGTAAAACATTGTTATAAATATATAAGTAAAGGGTCACATCAAGGTACAATCTTTTCTAATTTTAAACATCTCTTATCTTCGATAGTCACTGACTTGAATGTTAGTGTATTTTTTATTTTATCCCCTATGTAGAGGATCAGGGTTTATAAATATCCTTTAAGTCTCTCCGTTTACCATCAACTCAAACTCGCCCTCTCAAGAGTTGGTCCCTATATGTCATACAAGATCAAAATTAAATATAAATATCTAAATATATTTTTATGAAATATTTTTTTTATAATACTTTAAAAATATTTAAAAAATTAATTTAAAATATAAGTTGATTTAATATTAGAGACTAAAACAATTTACAAGATAACTTTATAAGATTAAAAAATATTTTTTATGAAGATAATAAAAAATGAAATTAATAATTTTTAAAGGAAAAAAATAGTTAACTTTCAATTATAATTTTTTTTACTGTTATAGAGATATTATAAGAAATTATTTTCTAACTTAATGTAACTATTGGTCTGAGACTTTGCACAAATTGGTCAATCAATGATGGTTTAGAAAAATTAAATAAAATCAAAAATACTTTTATAAACTTATGCAAATGCACTGTTTTAAAATCGGAATTAAATCGATTGATTTAAGAATTAGAAAGGTCACCGGTCTAATATGATTGTTGGATCGAATATGTTATTGAATTTATATAAATCGGTTAAAATTGATTAAAAAAATAATGAATCGGCGGTTTTGAAAAATTGACGTGTTAAATACAAATTTTATTTTTCTCAAATAAAATGACGTCGTCTTGATAATTTTATAAGAAAATAAAATTAAAATATAAATAGACTTTGGTTAAACATATTTTTAATTTCATAAATTTTATAAAAATAACTTTTAAAAAACTAAATTAAACCAGCTACGAGGATATCAATTTAATATACTTTCTTAAGTAGCATTTGAACAATATCCATATGAATTAAAGTTAAACAATCATCACAATACTAGCACTCTCATAAATTGAACTTGAAATACAAACGCCAAAGAATGATAAAAAAAGAATATGAAAGTGAGAAAGTGACTCTTATTCACTCATTCTTTACTAAAAATTAAAAAGTTGAAAAGAGATGCACAGTTTGAAGTTTTAGTTATTTTGAGAAGTAACATATTCTTTGCATAAAAGTATATTGTTAGAGAACCATACAAAGAGTATTTACATGATTATAGTATGATTTCAAAACTGAATTTAAAATATTGTCTTTCACTTCCACATGCTTATATAGAATCTTTATTTCAAATAGGAACTAAATTCAATTCAAATAGAATTGAAAGTCTTTTGTAGAGAGGGTATTGATGCAATGCAACCTAACGGTTTTAATCTGTATTGTTTGTGTAAATTTTTATAAAATTTGCAAGAGAGAATATTTTTATCGAATTTGGTGGGTTTTAATCGATTTTATTTTTATCGAATTTGGTGGGTTTTAATCGATTTCCATTGGTTCAATAATTTATCCGGTCTAGCAATCAAATCAAACCAGTGTCTTTATATTTTCGGTTCAATTGGCTGATCTGATTTGATTTTTAAGACACTGATTTAAAATATATTTTTATATTATGTAATTTGAATTATTTTTTTAAAAAAGTATAAGTCTAAGTCTTCTTTACTTAACCGTAGTTCTCCATACTATATTTCGTGTCAATCACTACTGGATCAATCAGCAGATGATTATTTTCTCTACTTAATTTAATATACACTATCATCCCCAATTTTTCAAAACATAATATAGTCAACACCACCTTGCATTCAATAACATTGTTGATTGGTCTATTGGTTCATAAAAATATTATTTTATCATTTATTTTATAATATAAAATACCACTTTTAAGATTGAACTGTTTGATTTTGGCTTCCAATGCTCTGAACGTGTGAATGCTGTATAAAACCAGAAGCAGTTCTGAACTACAACCACAATCACTAGCATAAACTAAAGGAAGCTTATAAATTATAATTAGGTAAACCATCAACGTAATCCAAAGAAACACAGCCAAAAACTCTTTATCTGAAACAGCTTCATCCATAGAAGCAAGAATATGAGAATCAAACTAGCAAGTCTAGCTTTTGTTGCCATTCCGCTGGCTTCACGTCTAGCGATACCAACTACCGAACCTGCTGCAGTTGAAGCTGTGTGAGTTCCATGAATCACAATGCAAATCATTCTCTTGTCATCACTCTACTTTTACTCTTCCTCTCTGTACCCTCTCTCACTCATACGAGTTTCAAATTCTTTTGAACTTTAAATCTTCAATTCAAACTTCTGATTCAAATGTTTTTGCTTTATGGAACTCATCTAACTCACCTTGCAATTTCTACGGAATTCTTTGCAATTCCAAAGTTTCTGTTACACAAATACACCTTCCAAACAACTATCTCACCGGCATTCTTCCTTTTGACATCATATGTAGTCTTCCGAGTCTTGAGAAAACTTCCCTGGAATCCAATTTTTTGCATGGGAATATCACCAAGGGTTTGAAAAATTGTACAAACCTCAAGTACTTGGAATTAGGTGGAAATTCATTCAATGGTCCACTTCCTGAGTTTTCATCTTTGATTAAGGTAGACTACTTGAGTCTAAATTTAAGTGGAATTTCAGGGATATTTCCATGGAAATCATTGAAAATCTAACAAACACTCACTTTTTAAAGCCTTGGTGATAATCCATATTTGAAAAAGCTTCCTCTCCTTCGGAGTCATTATGTGTTTGACTGCAAAAACTTCACCATTTGTAGCTCAACCTTGTAAACATTCACTGAAGCTCCTTTTCCAATCATATTCTCAGCTTTGATTCCACCAATAATTTCATTCTTATTAATGTTTAACAACATATTTGTCTTCATCTCTATTATTACGCAGAATCTGCAAAATGTAAAGAGAAAATGTTTAATATATGAAAGATACTTGAGCAGAGAGATTTTAACACACTTAAAGCATAGAATTAGTTTAAAATATTTTAGTTGAATCAACAATAAAACATAAAGGAATCAGATAACCATTCTACTAAATTTATTAAGAAATCATCCATCCCGATTTTTTAATGTTAAATACCTTAGTTTATTAACAACAATAACTCTAAAAGTAACCACAAACCTTAGTAACAGAAAAAAGAAACGGTTACACACCTTTGTTAACCAAATAGCAATAACAAGCTGAGAATGAAATTATTGGTGGAATCAAAGCTGAGAATATGATTGGAACAAGATCGTCAGGGACTGTTTACAAGGTTGAGCTACAAACTGTTGAAGTTTATGCAGTCAAACACTAATAACTCCAAAGGAAAGGAAGGTGTTTCAAATTGATTATCACCATGGCTGCTGTTAGATTTTTCAATGATTTCCATGGAAGTTTCCATAATGTTCCACTAAAAGTTAGATTCAAGTACTCTAACTTATTCAAAGATGAAAACTCAGGAACTAGACCGTTGAATGAATTTGCACCTAAATCCATGTATTTTAGGTGGGTACAATTTTTCAAATCCTCGGAGATATTTTCATGCAAAAAATGGGAGTCCAGAGAGATTTTCTCAAGATATTGAAGACTACAAATGATATCAAAAGGAATAATGCCGGAGAGATATTTGTTTGGGAGGTTTATTTGTGTAACCTAATGTTTGGAATTGCAAAGGATTCCGTAGAAGTTACAGGGTGAATTTGAAGAGTTCCATGAAAAGTTTGAATTGAAGATTTGAAGTTCAAAAGAATTTGAAGCTAGTATGAGTGACAAAGTGTACCGAGGAAGAGTAAAAACATAACGGTAACAAGATTTGCATTGTGATTCATGGAACTCATACAGAAGGCCATGGAACTCATACAGTCATACAGCTTCAACTAGTTTGTTTCATTTTTCTAGAGGTGAAGCCGAGGAATGGAAACAAAAGCTATGTATGAAATTGTTTCACATCGATAGAGTTTCCTGCTGATGTTGTGGTTGGTGATGGTATATAGAGTTTTAGAGGGTGATGATTTAGCTGATTATAGTTGAAAGAGAAGACTTGAGTGTGTACTTATTCCAAACATGCGTTTCATGATCTCCTTTTATAGACTTGAGTGTGTATTGTTCCAAACATGCACACATGCAGAACAATATCCTGGGTTGCATTGCATCAATACCCTATGCACAAAAGACTTTCGATTCTTTGAAATGAATTAAGTTCCTATTTGAGATAAACACATGCAAGTGAAAGACAATACTTTGAATTCAGTTTTGGAATCATACTATAACCATGTAAATGCTCTTTGGATGGTTCTCTAACAATATACCTATATGCAAAGAATATATTTCTCAAAGTAACTAAAATTTGAACTATGCTTCTCTTCTTAACTTTTTAATTTTTAGTAAACAATGAATGACATCTTCTTCTCATTAGAGTCATTCTTTTCATATTCTTTTTTTTAACCATTCTTTAGCGTTTGTATTTCAAGTTTAATTTATGTGAGTGCTAGTATTGTGATGGTTGTTTAACTTTAATTCACATTGACATTGTCAAATGCTACTTAGAAAAGAGAATATATTAAAGTGATATCTTTATAGTTGGTTCAATTAAGTTTTAAAAAGTTTTATTTTTGAAATTTTATAAAATTGAAAACATGTTTGAACAAAATCTTCTTAGATTTTAATTTTATTTGCTTTAAAAAATTATTAAAACGATGTTGTTTTATCTAAGTAAAATAAAGTATGTATTTAATTCGTCGGTTTTCTAAAACCGTTGATTCATCAATTTTTATCAATTTTGATTGATTCCTACTAATTCAATAACAGACATGATCCACAGGTCATATCAGACTGGTGACCCTTTCAATTTCCAATACAATCTATTTGGTTAGATTTTTAAAACAATGCATTTGCATAAGTTTGTAAAAGTATTTTTTTCTTTTTTTTTTCTAACACTATGCCAAAATTGAATTTAGACAGCGCCACATAGACAACGCTTATGCCCTAAGCGCTGCTATAGGTTTTCAGAAGAAAAAAAATTAAAAAATTAGAGTAAGCGCTGCTAAAGGTATACTATAGACAACGCTTATTATAAGCGCTGCTATAGGCCTTACCATAGACAACGCTTCCTTTCCCTAAGCGCTGCTATAGGTTTTCAATATAAAAAAATAAAAAAAATAAGAATAAGCGCTGCTAAAGGGTATACCTTAGGCAGCGCTTACTAAAAGCGCTGCTAAAGGCCTTACCATAGACAACGCTTCCTTTCCCTAAGCGCTGCTATAGATTTTCAATAAAAAAAATAAGAATAAGTGCTGCTAAAGGGTATACCTTAGACAGCGCTTACTAAAAGCGCTGCTAAAGGTGTGATAAAGGGTATACCTTAGACATTGCTTTCAAGAAGCGCTGCTAAATGCATTACTCTAAAGCGCTGCTAAAGGTAATACCTTTAGCAGCGCTTCTTGAAAGCACTGTCTAAGGTAATTAAATAGTTTCTAAATCCCTAAATTGGTTATCAAAAACCCCACTTTATACAAACGAAACCCCACAAACCCAGAAAACGCAACTGTTCATCTTCTTCTCCAACTCGTCTCCTCCCTCCTCACCGTCCAACCGTGGTTCATCTTCTTCTCCAACTCGCTTCCTGATTCGTTTCTCGTTGCAAACTTCGGATTCTCCGGTTATACAAGGGCAAGGGCCAGAGGCACGTGGTTCATCTTCTTCTCCAACTCGCTTCGGATTCGTTACCACCATCTCCTCGTGAAGAAGAAGTTTCACAAAACCAGTTTCACTATAAGGTAAAATTTCTTCATCCTTCTATATTTTTTTCTATGGTTAACTCAATGCAAGCACAAAGTATGGTCTTCTTCATTTCTTTCTGAAACTCTCAGTACATGTTAAGCAAAGATATTTAATTTAAAGTACCAAAACAGGCCTCTCTGTTATTCATCTCTATCCATTTTCATTCATTCACACGATCCATCACAAGTATTTCTTATAGGACATTGGTCATTGTACTCTTATAGATATTGAATTCTTGTTAATCTGTTTAAACTAGGTGTATAATAATTCACTTTTCTTCATTATGTTCTTTGGTTGTTTTTGGAATTGAGTTCTGATTCTAGTTTCCTGTTTTACCAGAGTGCATCTTTCTGTATATTCATATTAGTATCTGATATAAACAATAACTTCTACTCCTTCATTTTGTTTCATCACTTTGTTGTTTCTTTCTATATTTTATTGTTATGTTACTAAACAATTCAACTTGTGCTTTAATCTTCTGAAGAGAGTAGTGTTCAGGTTAACACATCCTCTCTTACTTCTTCTCATTACTTAATAGTAAGTCATATCATTGATCTTGTAATAAGTAATTTATATACATTGTTGGAAGAAGGTGTATCTCTAGTTTCCCTTACATAACTTGCTGCTCTTAGTAAAGGGTTTTATGATGTATTTCTTCTGTATGGTAAATCATTTTAACATGGAGTATTTTAAAAAAGAGGAATCCAGAACTTTGGGATGACAAACATGAACATGTTGATGGAGTGATAGTTCGAACATAATGTATGCTTAGCTCATGTAGACATGCCTGCAAGGAACAAAGGAATCACATCATGTAAATCCTCCATCTAATATTCAACTTAGTAATAGTAAAAAATAACACAAATCATGAATCTTCGAATGAGTTTACAACTAAGCTAATGTCTCTAAAATTGTAACGTTGACGATCATTGATTGAATATGTTATAGGACCACAACAATCCTCATTTCTAGAATTGTTCTAATCACATGTTTGATTTTTGTTGACAACACAAACTCTTTAAATTCATTGTACTCCCACTGCATTATACCGTTTTGTGCCCTAATTAGTGTTTTTGTTTAACTTAGATAATAGTTAAAACCATGGATAAAAAATGGATGTGTGTCGATCGATTGTCAAAAGAGTACGAGAATGGGGTATTAGAGTTTGTTAAGTTTGCTGTTGAACACGCTGAAGACCTGAATAGAATGAAATGTCCTTGCTTGGGTTGTTGTTATATGGGTCGGGTTGACGCAGATGGATTGAAATCACATTTACTAATGCGCGGAATTAATCGAAGTTATACGTGTTGGATATTTCATGGTGAGAAAAGCATCGAGAATGTTGAATTGGGGGTGAAAAGTAATGCGACCTATGTTTCGTACGACAATGCCACGGATACATATGATTCTGATCGGGTTGAAGAGATTGCAGAAGCACTTGAAGAAGATCTTCAAGATTGTCCCAAAATGTTTGAGAGGTTGGTAAGCGATGCGGAGAAACCGTTGTATAAAGATTGCCCCAAATTCACAAGATTGTCTGCGGTATTAAAATTGTACAACTTAAAGGCGCGCAATGGATGGTCGGATAAAAGTTTCACACAGTTATTAGCCCTTTTGAGAGATATGCTTCCTGAGGATAATGTTCTTCCTAATCGAACCTACAAGGCCAAAAAAATGTTGTGCTCTATTGGCATGAGCTATGATAAGATACATGCATGTCTAAATGATTGTATTTTGTTTCGAAACGAATATGCATCGTTGAATGAGTGCCCAGAGTGCGGTTTATCTCGAGATTTAGACGCATGTTTCATAGTGAAACTGATGCTAGACACTTGACTTGGCATGCAGATGAAAGAATTATCGATGTAAAGTTTCGACATCCGGCAGATGCACCACAGTGGAAGAAAATTGATAATGATTATCCTGATTTTGGAGGAGAAACAAGAAACCTTCGCTTGGCATTATCTACGGATGGAATGAACCCGCATGGTCTTCAAAGTATCTCACATTCCACATGGTCTGTGATTCTTATGATTTATAACCTACCTCCATGGCTATGTATGAAGCGCAAGTACATGATGTTATCTATGTTAATTTCTGGGCCTAAACAACCAGGGAATGACATAGATGTATACTTGAAACCTTTAATCGAAGATTTGAAGATTTTGTGGGAGAACGGTGTGGAGGTTTATGATGGATATAGGAAAGAAAGTTTCAATTTGAGGGCGATGTTGTTTGGCACAATTAACGATTTTCCAGCATATGGAAATCTATCTGAGTATAGCATTATAGGTGAAAAAGTGTGTCCTATCTGTGAAGATGGAACTGATACGACACGATTGAAACTTTGTCAAAAGAATGTCTTTCTCGGTCATCATAGATTCTTAAATTCAAAACATCAATATCGTGGATGGAGAAAAGCGTTCAATGGAAATACCGAACAACGTAGAGCTCCACCTGGACTGACAAGTGATCAAATTTGTGAAAAGATGAAAGATGTGAGTATTCAGTTTGCTAAGCCTTTTGCATATAAAGTTGTCACAGGTGGGTGGAAGAAGAGGTCAATTTTTTTTGAATTGCCATATTGGAAATCTTTGTACGTAAGACATTTTCTTGATGTTATGCATATTGAAAAAAATGTATTTGAAAGTGTTATTGGTACGTTACTCAATATAAAAGGAAAGTCTAAGGATGGCCTTAAAGCAAGAGAGGACATGGTAGAGATGGGAATAAGAACTGAATTAGGACCCGTGAAGAAAGGAAGACGAACATATCTACCACATGCTTCTTATACTCTATCTAGAAAGGAAAATAAAATATTGTGTAAGTTTCTAAGTGAAGTTAAAGTTCCAGAAGGTTACTCCTCAGACATTAGAAGACTCGTGTCCATGAAAGACCTCAAGTTAAAGAGTCTGAAGACACATGATTGCCATGTCATAATGGAACATTTTCTACCAATAGGTATACGTTCTATTTTGCCAAAAAAAGTAAGAAGCGCTATAACTAAATTGTGTTTTTTTTCCAGGTCAATTTGTAGTAAGGTGATCGATCCTGAGATCTTACCAGTATTACAAAAAGAAATCGTTATTACTCTGTGTGACCTTGAAATGTATTTTCCTCCATAATTTTTTGACATTATGGTACATCTTGTTGTTCATCTTGTGAAAGAGACACAATTGTGTGGACCAGCTTATATGAGATGGATGTACCCTGTTGAACGTTATATGAAAATATTAAAAGGGTACGTGAAAAACCGAAGTCGTCTAGAGGGTTGTATCGTTGAGCGATACGTTGTTGAAGAAGCGGTTGAGTTTTGTACTGATTTTTTGTCCAATGTGCAATCCATTGGACTCCCCAAATCTCATTTTTTCGAAGAAAAAAAAGAAGGTAAAAAATTAATTGGAAATGAAATTGTGACAGTATCAAGGGATGAACGGGATCAAGTGCATTTGTATGTTCTGCACAATGACACTGAGGTTGAGCCATTTGTTGAAATGTACAAGGATATACTACGAGGTGAGAATCAAAGTAGAAATGAAAATTGGATAGTACGAGAGCACAATCAAAGTTTTATACAATGGTTTAAGGATTATATATATTCAAAGTTTCATTCAGATCCCGCTTCAATATCAGACAGGTTGAGATGTTTGGCATATGGTCCAAGTTCGATTGTGTTCTCTTATAGAGGATACGGAATTAATGGATACACATTTTATACCAAAGAACAAGATGAGAAAAGTACCATGCAAAATAGTGGTGTCACGGTGGTATGTGAAGCAATGCACATTTCTAGTATGAAGGACTTAAACCCGAAATATGAAAATTTGTCATATTTTGGGGTTATCAATCACATTTGGGTGTTTGATTACGAGAAGTTTCAGATTCCTATCTTTGGTTGCAAGTGGGTACATACTAGTGGCATACGAATGGATAAGTCAGGGTTTTTACAAGTGGATCTTAGTAGGGTGGGGTACAAAGATGAGCCTTTTATTCTAGCCTCTCAAGCTAAACAAGTGTTCTATGTCACAGACCCGAAGAGTACGAAATGGTCTATAGTGCTTTTATCTAACAAAGTGATTGATGATAAAAGTGTGGATCAAGTTGATGTTGATGTTGAGAATGAGTCGTATATTAGAAACGATCGAGATGATGATACTACAGCGGATGAATCATATATCAGAAAAGATCATGATGAGGGAATTTGGATCAATCCCTCCGTACGCGTTCTTAAGAGACAAGTAATTCGGAATCCAACCAAGAAAAGAAAGAGATATTAGTGAAAGAGGTAATATATATTCCTCCATATCTGTTAACACTTAGCAAACTTCTAATAAATTATATATTTGTCATTTTATATACTCAATTGATATTTGTCATTTTATATACTCAATTGATATTTGTCATTTTATATAGTGAATAGATATTTGGAATTATATATTTGGAATTAAATATTTGTCATTAGATACTAATGTTTTTCTTTATTACAGGTTAGATGGCTAGTAACGAGGAGCACCCTCACGATGATTCTATTAAAGATGGAGACAATGATGGAGGAAAATCCAGTAAGGGAGTGGAAAAAGAAATAAAAAGAGGAAAAACTATTATGAAGAATATCATTCGTGATAGAGATTGGGGTATAAAATATGATGTGCATTGGAGTACAAATGACCAATTAATTGAGCCTAACGGTTCTAAATTGACAAGTTACATTGGCACACTTGTAAGGAGAGAAATTCCAATAACTTGTGATGAGTGGAGAGATGATAAGCTGAATGATGCTAAAAACAAAATCTGAAGTGAGATACAGGTGCTTTAAATTATGTCTTTAAACTACGATTATGTACTTTAAATTATGTCTTTAAATTACTTATACTAACGCACTTTGTGTATGTTTTTTGTAGAGGTCTTTCAACATTGATGACAAAAGAAAAGATTATTGTCTTGGATTGGCC